CAGTATGCCGGAGGAAGATGAATGAGACGTTTTGTTGGACCAGAAACTGTTAAAGAAAACTACCAAAATAAGGTCAGTTAAACAAAGGTATTCCTCCAAACTTTAATTCCTAAAGATTTGCTTTTTATGTTTTGATGTTGAATTCACTTTTTTGACGGCAAATTTGGGTGTACTGTTTTTTTTTTATGTTGGGGGTGCGGCTTATAGTCTGAACAATACGGTAATTCACAATTAATTCACCAGATAATCCAGAGGTGGTCTGTTTGGTGAGTTTCACTCCAGAAGCTACAAGCTGACGAGACTCACTTTCAGAACTATTCTTGTCCCGAGCTCAGTTTAACACCGCAGTCAGTTTATCGAGCCGCTGACCCACATCGGTGCTGATATCTCCAGCCTGAACACCAACTACAGACAACTGCTCAGTTGAGAGAAGGAATTCAGCTTCAACGAGGAGGCAGCTGTAGCTCTCCGGAGAGAAGAACCAGCTCTTGGCTGTGAGATTTGCCCCAAACATCAAAGGGAAGGCCTCTCAGCCTGGATCAGACCAACACTCAAGGCCGGATTAACCATATGGGCAATTGCCCAGGGGCCCACGGTCTCTAAAGGGCCCTGGGCAGTGAAGGCACGGTCATAACGGATGCGGGATATGCGTGGGACATGTCTCCCCGACTCTCTGCACTTCCTGCATCTGTGCTCTATGTCCCCCGCACTTTTCTCAGCCGTTACAGCTGTTTTATCCACTATTAACATGTGGTAATGCGTTTTCCTGAGCCGTCTTTGAACGCACCATAGGCGTGCGCATGCTAACGTCTGCAGATCACGGATAGAGGAGAAGTCCTCCTATCCCGAGCAGAGCCTCCCGATGTAAGAGCAACTAAAACTTGGCATAGTTTTTACCAAACAAACTATGTAAGTTGAGTCATGCTGTTGGAGGCAGATAATGTTAGCTAAATGATGAGTTACACATTATATAATGTTTAGCTAGTTAACATGATTAGTTGTTGTTACCTGTTACAGCCCTTGCCAAGCTAGTTTTTTAATGCTAGATAAACCCAGTCGTCTTTCATTTCTGTGCAGAAGTTGTGCTGGCTGCTTTCCGCATATTTAAAACAAATCTTCATTGCCACAGAACAAAGTCAGGGATGAGACAGACCAGATAGCCTACAGCAGCAGGGATCATAATGCAGATAAAGTCCTCCGTTTTCTCATTGCTCCTTAAAAAAATAATATAAAAATACTAAATAATATAATATAATAT